GAAATCGTCCATCATTAAACAGGGGTGGAGGCCTCCGGGTTCAACTGCCCCCCTCTTACAATGCTGTGATTGCTAGTATCACTCAGCCCTCTGTGAACAGTAAACAGCCATCAGTGTGCTAATGACCCATTGTTAGGCTGATGGTCCTTCTTGAGCATGTGATCAGCTGGTTTTGGTTGTCAGCAGCAAACTGGTTGATCCACTCTGAGAAGGTGCTATTTAAGAGACTGAGCTGAAAACAGCACCTCAGACTGAGGAAGTCTCTTGGATGAGAGACGAAATGTTTCTAGATTTTTTTGCTTTGTTTTGTTTTTTTTGAATGTCCAGAGGACCAGATTGAACTTTTTTGGATTTTTCTACCTGGATTATTGAGCATGCATCAGAATAACTTGTTCAATTTGTACTTCTGACCTGTAGGGGCAGCAATGTGCCTCAATTGCTGCTAATCTGCTCTAAATGTCATTAGAAGGAGGAAATTTGAGCAGTAGCTTTCACCTTTAGCAATGTGGCGGTACATTTCGGGAGTTAAGCAGGTTGAGGACAACACAAATGTTTGTCCAAAGGAGTCGAGGGAAGAAATGTAGACATTAAAAATATAAAAATAATTAAACACTTTATTTATAAGCTTTTCAAAACCAGCCATTAGGGAGCGCAAGCCAGTGTATCTCTTGTGCCAGTCCCAAGCCCGGGTAAATGGTGAGGGTTGTGTCAGGAATGGCATCCAATGTAAAACACTTTTGCCAAAACCATAATGCGAATTCATCAAAGCGAAACCATACTGGATCGGTCGAGGCCCGGGTTAACAACGACCACCACCGGTGCTGGTGACAAACAGGGTGCCAGCGGAAATTGTGCTACTGTTAGTCGAAGACCATGAGGAGGGAAACGTGTCAGGAGACAGAGGGAAAAGAGGAAAGTGAAGAATGTACAGGAAAGATCTGGATGAAGTGACAGAGTATTCCCAGGGAGGAGAGAGTGGTGATCAGAGCAGACCTGAATGGACATGTTGATGAAGAAAACAGAAGGGATGAGGAAGTGATGGGTAGGTTTGGTGTCAAAAAAAGAAACCAGGAACGACAGATGGTGGAGAATTTTGCCAAGAGAATGGAAATGGCTATAGTCAATACTAGGGTTGTACATCTCTGTGTGATAGACGATTCGATTCGCATCTAGATACAAAGGTTACGATTCGATTCAAAAACGATTCATTTTAAAAACAGAACGATTTGATTCGATTCGATACAGTGGAAGAGCGATTCGGTTCGATTCGATTCAACTTTATATAATTCTACATTTTAACATTTGTTGAATGTAGACAAATATTAATTATGAACAAAAAGGGCCATTTCTATAAATGTGACATTCTTACATTATTTTTAAATTTGTAAAAGTCTACATATATCATCTCTAAAAGCGTGCAGTAAGGCACTGGCAAAAATAAAGTAAAAAGCCAAACAACAGAATCACATGTCAAATGTGTTTATTTTTAGACATGGACCTAAAAAGACCAGCTAAAAGAATATTTCTTTGTTTGATGGGATCAACATAAAATTAGAAATAAAGAAAAATTATAAAATGCACAAATGATTACAGCAGCATGTAATAAAAAAAATAGGAATAAGCTACAGTAAGCACAAAGCACCTGTGCAATAACCTGTCACATACCCTGTGTAGTTTGGTAGTTATGTGCAATATATATCATGCGCATTTTAGCTTATATTACATTACTACCTTGAAATACTTATTCACACAAATTCATTCTGCTTCACTGTAAAAATTCTACAGTGTTGTTGTTTACCATTTTTCTCTTCAGAAACTTTGTAAATATTATAATTACTTTTTCACTTTTTGGTAGTTTATTTTGTACCCTTATTGCATGCTTTAGTATTTCTTGTTTGCTTGTTTTTTGTTTTTTAGCAAGTCAAATCGGTTCTTCTCATCCTGAGCATTTCATTGTGTTAACCTTGCATATGACAAATAAACACAACTTGAACTTGAACTTAATAATACAAAAACATAATGCAAGAACAGTACGCCTAACAACAGCAGCACGAACATGAGTTTGTGTGAGCAGGTGGGCACAGATTAATATAACATCATGTCATTTAAACAGCAGCATGAGATCAGATCAGCAGCATGGA